CCGGCCAGGCTCCGGGCTGCGGCATGGTACCGCGTCTCATGCGGCGGCCCCGCCGACCGCGTCCCGCCGTTCCGGCGATCCGGGCCCCGCCGTCCCGCGCCCACGGCCGTTGGGAGCCGAGGCCGCTCTGCCCCGCGCCGCGAGAGAGTCCCCTGAGCGCTTCCGCGCGCGTCACCGCGGCCCGCCCCTCGACCTTTGACTCGCCGCCAGGGGGCGTGGCGGGAGGCGGGGAGGCCTGAGAGGCAGCTCCTGCGCTCTAGCCGACGCCGTTCCGGCGATCCGGGCCCCGCCGTCCCGCGCCCACGGCCGTTGGGAGCCGAGGCCGCTCTGCCCCGCGCCGCGAGAGAGTCCCCTGAGCGCTTCCGCGCGCGTCACCGCGGCCCGCCCCTCGACCTTTGACTCGCCGCCAGGGGGCGTGGCGGGAGGCGGGGAGGCCTGAGAGGCAGCTCCTGCGCTCTAGCCGAGCGTCCCGACTGGCCGGGGACCCGGGGCTGACCGCTCCCGACGGCTATTGCGCATGCTTGGAGTCTGCGCATTCGGGCGTTTCTGCTCAGCGGAGCGGTGAGGGAAGCAGGCTGGTTGGATGGTGCTGGCGACTTGCGCCGGTCCGTGAGCCACGCAGCCACAGTCTCCGGAGCTCGCGGGCCCTGGGTCATCGTTGAGCAAGCGCAGCACTGTGCAATCCTGAGTTAATTGTATTGTTTCATATGGTGGTTGTTGATGAACAGGAGCAAGGGAGCTGACAGTGAAATGTTTCGTCGCTGGAAAGCGTGGAGGAGCGGCCGTCCTGGGCATCCAGCACTCAAGCCTTGAACCCAGAACCAAGGCGTGGAGGAATAGCGTAGCGGGAACAGTGCAGAAGCCTGCATGAGGTTCAGGGACAGAGCAAGCAGGTCTCAGTGGATTTTATGGAAAGATGAAGCTGGAAGATGCTGGAAATCAGATCATTGCAAGTCAAAGGGGCCGGAGAGATGGCTCAGCGGTTAAGAACACTGGTTGTTCTTGCAGAATACGGGGGTTCGAATCCCAGCACACACATGGCAGCTAACAACTGTCCGTAACTCCAGTCCCTGGGGATCTGACAGCCTCTTCTGTCCCCCGCGGGCATTACATGACAAGGGTGCACTTACAGGCAGGCAATACACGCATACACATAAAATAAAAATAATAAATTACAAAAAAAAAAAAGTCAAGTTAAAGCCGGGCAGGGTGACAGAGGCAAGCGGATCTCTGTGAAATCAGTACCAACCTGGTCTACGTAGTGAGTTCCAGGCCAGCTGGGGCTACAGGGAGACCCTGTCTCAAAAAAAGAAAGAAAAGAGGGGAAAAAAGCCAAATTAGATTAATAAGTTTGAACTTGGTCTTCGTTGAGAGCTCTTGAGATCGCTTTGAAAGATCATTGTTGTCTGAGATTAAAGATTCAAGGACAAGACTGAAGTTCTGGACACACACACACACACCTATGTTAAACATCCTACAGGGCTGATTGGCTGACTAAAACTAATGTGATTATGGAGATTTTAGGTTGGGAGCAGGCCACATTATCTTAGGGTATCTTTTGTCCTCCCACCTCTGCGTGTGATCTAATATAATTGAGACTATTTGAAAAATCCGTTTGGAATGTACAAGCCATGCAGATCCTAACTTCCACCAACCCAAAGGCTAAGAACGTCATCAGATAAAGTCAGTCTGAGACCTGTAACAGGTTTCCCTGCTTCGCTGTAATATACCTACCTGATATTTCTGCCAATGTAATTTTTTAAAAAATTCTTATGTGTGGTGTTATGTCTGCATGTATCTGTGTTCCTTGTTCATGGTCATTCATATTTGGCTCCAGAAAAGGCTCTTACTCCCTTTGAGGTGAAAGCTGTGGGTATTTTATTCATTGACAACTGGGGAGGAAACAGAGATGCAGACATTATAGGGTAAACTATGGAAAGATTGCCTTTTGAGGCAAAGAATTTTGAGGTGGCGTTTTTCTTTAATTTTTTGTTTTAGATTTTTTTATTTTAAAAAGGAAGAAATGCACATGCTGGAAAATTCAGAGAACATAAAGAAAATGATAAGTAATTGGTTATGGATTTTAAGGATATGGGAGTGGAGAGGAGTGGAATGGGGTGGTGTGCCACTGCCCCAATTTGTGTCCATCTGAAACCTCACTGTGTGGTTACTTGGAAAGAGTCCTTGCATATGTAATTAAGGTGTTGTCATGCTGGATTAGAATAGGCCCTAAAGCTAATATTCTGAGAGGAGAGGCCACACAAACTGACAACCAAGGGAAAAAGGCTTATAGGGAAGAAGGTGGAAATTGGAGGAGTTCAATTGTAAGTTAAAGAACACTGGGAGTTACCAAAAGCTAAGGAAAGGCAGGCAGTGTGAGGGAATAGATCCCTGAGAAGCAGACAGAGCCACTGGTGAGTGGCTTCACAGATCACTTCTGCTTCTTCTTGGTCTAAGAGAAAGACATGGCAGGCTTTTTCTCCTGCTTGCAAGGCCCCTTCTGGCTGATCAGTCCAAACCAGTTTAGATTAGATCAAGGCGGGTCCTGAACTATCTCATCTTGGAGCTGTAATCTATCAGCTCTGCCTCTCTCCTTTAATCAATCCAAAATTAGCAGGGGTTCAGGGGGACCTACCCCGTACCACCAAAAACACTTAAAGGGCCCAAGCCCTTCTTGGGGCTTCGAATTTTTTGGTTTACAAGTAACCGCTCCACTTGGGGCGAGTCTCTCTCTCTCTCTCTCTCTCTCTCTCTCTCTCTCTCTCTCTCT